CTTGGGAGCCACAAAGGCGCTGCCAGTCTCAAGTCAGCGTGTGCGCTCGACCGTCACAATATCGGGCGGCCTCCCTCCGCCCCAGAGCGCACGACAACAAGATAATGTAAGGTGAGGAGAACGGCGTGGTGCACCTGCACTGAAGCTCGATGCGCAAGGACGACGAATGCTAGTCCTTCGATGCCGCGCGACAAGTACGCGGAGCCCACCGGCGACAACAAGAACGACTACCCAGCAGTTGCATCGCGGGCACGATCCACGGCCGCGATCAACGCTGCAGCGCCACACAGGCAAGATATAACGTCAAGCAGCGAAAGCAGCGCGGGATCGCAGCGGGGGCGACCGCCGAAGCGCACTTCTCCGCCGCCGACCTCTCTGCGGCTGCTCAACGGCACCACCAGGGGAACAAGCACACAGAGTCGGCGCTGTGACAGGTCGCGATGACGGGCCCACCATCTGCCGCTGCCCCCACCGCCCGCTCTTTCCTCCCTCCCTCACCCTTCCTCTCCCCCCCCAATAGACGCAAAGAGAGAAAACACACCTTCAAATGCCCCCCCGTATCAAAGAACAGATTCTCCGGCTTGATATCCCGGTGCGCCACGCCCTGGCTGTGGAGGTACCTGGATGCGTAGCGAGACAAAGGAGAAGGGAACAAAAGGAAGAGTCAGTAGTTATAAAGATAGATTTGAGACAACACAAGGAGAGGGAGGGGAGGGGAGGGGGAGGGGATGGAGGACGAGGAGAGGATAGCCATAGAGAACGAGCAAGCGACAGCGTGATGCAAGTCCCTTTGCCGCGTCCGTCGCCCATCACCCTGTCGACGAGGGACCAGCGGCACCAAGAAAGAAGAGCTCTAGCCCCATGCCAGCCCCCCCAAAAAAACCCAAACGAAAACACACGAAGCAAAAAAAAAACAGCGCACTCACCCAACCCCCTCCAATATCTGCCGAAAACAGCACTCGACCTCGCTCGGCGACATGCCGCCCTTCTTGATCGCCGCGTAGAGGTCGCCGCCGGGGCAGAACTGTGCGAACGGGGTGAGCACATAAGAATGGAGGGAGTTGTATGGAAGAGGAGGTTAACGAGAGAAAGGAGGGGAGGGAGGACGGAGGGAGGGGAGAAGAGGAGTGTGGGGAGAAGAAGGAGGGGAGGACGGAGGAAGGGAGAAAAGAAAGGGAGGGAGCGGGAGGGAGGGCGGCAGCCGACTTGCTGACGCAAATAGCGGGGAGCGGAGGTAGAGCGCCCTCATCCTTCACCGACACCGACAGTGCGCCACGACGCGAACGAGCCGCGGTGGACAGCCCAGCATAAAGGGCCGAGAGAGTGAGGATGCCAAGCCGCGCTGAGAACACGGTCCACGGAGGCGGGGAGGTCGCACCGACGCCCATGGCGCTCCACTGGCCGACCACACTCGGAGCGCATCAAGAACGCGCCGTCCCATCGCCTCGGCCGCGTCCGCATCCGCCATCCCCGTACGCGCCCAGCCCCATAGATCCCGCACCCCATGTCCTTCATCCGCGTACGTGCACGGACCACAGATACCCGTCACGCAATGGATGTCGGCTCTTCGCTCATCCTCGTATGAGAATCATCTCCCAGCAACTCCCTCATCCCCGCACGACCCACCCTGGCCATCGATCCCCCAAGCCAAAAAGCGGAGCAGCATCGATCCCGCTTAGCTCGCTCCTCATCGCGGAACGCGGGGTATCGATCTCGCGTCCCATTGCACCCGAGATCCGTGTAGGGCCTCCACGAGCTCCGTGAGGTGGTGCAGGGCCGGCAAAAAGAGGAAAAAGGAAGGCCGTCTCCCGAATGGAAGAACGAGGCCCCGGAGAGAGAGATGTGCACCGCGCGAAACGACGCAACGGCGGAAATAAACTCCAACGCCAACTCCCAGCTCCACACGCACTCCCCGGAACACAAAGGCCAGAATGAGAACAGGAATGGGAAGGCCAGGATAGGAGAAATGAAACGGTGCGCCGACGCGACGCGCCACAAGCGCAAGCGGCAAGTGTAAACCGGACGCGATGCGGCTTGGGCTCGGATCCGTCCGCCCGTCCGCACGCCTCCGTACCGCTCGTTCCCCACACCCAAACAAATCGCGCGCAAGCGTCGCTCCTCCCGCTCCGCCTCCCCTCACAAGTCTCCCAAAACCTCCAAAAATCCAAAAAATCCAAACAAGAAAGAGAAAGAGAAACACACACCTCCATAACCTCACACCACCTGCCCTGCTCGTCCTGCACGAGGTCGACCGTCTCGACGATGTTGACGTGGTGGAGGGTCGAGCTGTGGGCGAAGTGAGCATGTTAGCGAACAAGCGAACGGTACGAGTCGGAGACGAGTATAAACGGAAGAAAAGTAAGAAATAAGGGACAGATAGAGTGAGTGTAAGAGAAAAAGAATGGGAAGAAAATTCGATGGGAGTGCGGATGGGGGGAGAATCGAAAGATGAGAGAGAATAAGGGAAGGGAATAAGAGGCGGAGGAGCGAATGGAGGGGGGCGCGAAGGGAAGAAGGGCGGGGTGACGTCATCCACCTCCCTCCGCCTCCCCCGTCCCGCCCTTCCTCCTCCCACTCTCTCCCGCTCCTCGTAGAATAAAAAGACAGGAAGAAAAAGAAAGACAACACAACCCACCTAATACAAAACTCTGCCGTGAGCTTCTTGACGTACTCCTTCTCCGTCTCTGTGCGGCGGCGTTTGCGGAATTCCTGGGGTGCGAGGTGTTAGCGTTTGCGTTCGGCGTCGGGGTAAACACCCCTCGAAAAAGGGAGAGCGACAAAGAAAGGCCCTCCAAAAAAAAAGAAGAGGAACGCCGCCCAAAAAGAAGAAAGCCTCCCCAAAAGAACGAAAGGAAAAAAAAAGAAGGCACCCACCTTAACAGCATACATCTTATCCCCCTCGCTCCGATCCCACTTGTGCGCCAGCCTCACCACGCTCGTCGCCCCCTTTCCAATCGCGACCTTCTGACACACGCCGTACTTCTTGCTCAGCGACGCCGCGCTGTCCCCGCCCGTGCTCTTCACGCTCCCTCCCCCTCCCCCACTTTTCGCTTTCTTCTCTTTCCCATGGGCGGACTTGTCCTTGGAAGAGAGGCCCAAAGCGATGTGCGCCCACCCCCCATCCCGCTCCTTGCCGGAGTGCACGGACGCCGACGCATCGGAGACGCTATCCGCGCTGTGCCGCGAGCTCGCGCTGCGCCCCGAGCTCCGTCTCGACAACTTCGGTCCGGACGCCAACAGGTCCTTGAGAGTGAACTTGTGGCTCCCCTCCTTGGTGGACGGCGCCTCGGAGATGACGGACGCCGCGCGCGAGGGGGGCTTCGGTGTGTTCGGTGCGGACTTCGATGCGCCCTTTGCCTGAGCAGCCGAGGAAGCGGGGGCGACAGAAGCGGTGGACGCAGCGCGCTTGACGGCGGTGGGGGGCAGGGCGGGGGGTGTCGGCGAGATGGGGGAGCTCGGTGCGGAGGCGGCCATTACCGCTGTAGGGGGAGGGACGGCCATGAGGGAGGGTCGCCCATTCGTTGGGGTGGTAGAATCGTCCTCGGCCCTTGCGCGATCGAGGAGATCCTGGCGCGTCAGGCCCGGCTGCTTGTCGTGCGCGGACGCTTCGGGCGGGGGGAGGGGTATGCTCGTCGCCATCTTGTGTCCTCTCGTAGTAGTTGGTGGTGGTAAAAGTCTAAGATCTGTAATCCGAATCGTATCCGCTATTTGGCTGTTGTCCTTCCTTCCTCGAAAGCCTCGAATGTGGTCCGTCGCCTGAGTAAGCAAAGCAAAGCCCTAGCCTTTAAGCGCAAGCCTCAGTTCGTTTCGTCGACGAGCATGATGAGAAGGAGGGCTTGCGTTGACGATGAGTGTGGCAATGGATGGAGTTGTGGGGCGGCGAGGAATGTGAGACGATGATGAGAGAGCCGAGTACACCGACCACAACAACAATCACCCAAACGCGTAATTCCCGCACTCTCATCAAATAAAATGGAAATGAGCGGCGGGGGCTTGGCGAGGCGGGCGGGGACGCTCTCCATGCCATTCCGGGTCCCTCCGCGCCCTTGAAAACCTCGACCCGCGGCTGCCCGACATCCCGCCCCTCGGCAATGACGACAGCCATCAGTCCTTCGCCACAACTCTCCTGCCTCCACGTCCGCCTTCTGCGCTCTCAAAATCCATCGATTGACAAGGCAGACTCGACTGCAAGACCGCTATCACAGCCCCGGCTTTGATCCCGTCCCCGCCGCCCCCGCGCGTCCCGTCTGGCCTCCCCGTGCATCCGCCTTCAAGTCAACGTCAACACCTCGTGCCCTGGAATCCACGCACATTTAAGGCTCCCTCTATCTCTATGCGGCCGCATCCTCCTGAGTCCCGACGTGCGGCTCCCCCGACGTCGTGCCCCAGCTCAGCAATGACGACAACCAGCCAACGTCCTCGTCCGCTCTGCTACGACCGCTACCTCCACACCTCCACCCATCATATCCGGCGACGCATCTTCTCCCTCTCCACGACTCGGGCGCCCACCCTCCTCAGGCTCGCATCTCCGCGTCCACTCTCCTCTGACCGCTCCCTCCAGGCCTCTCCCACGATCCATCCCTCAAGTCGGTGAAGATTCCACTACGATGAAAGTCGAGACCAATATTGCTACCGCGACACGCATTCTGGCGACGCGCTCAAGTCAGGGTCACGTCCATCTCCACGACGGCCTCACCCACATCCCCCCTCCACAAGGAGATCCCCGTCCGTCGGGATCCACGCGGACTCAGACGCTGCGCATCGCGAACGTCGAGGCCTGGTTTTGTATGCGGAGTCAGTGGGATGTAATGTAGGTATGTAGCACATCAATAAAATTTACATCTATCGCGACGGAGTGCGCATTCGGATTCGGATTGGGATTCTTCGGTGGAAGAGCAGTGCACTCGGCGGCGGTGGAGGAGTGCACTCTGTCTTATTATCTACAGTCAAAACAAATATCCCCTAAGCTGGGAATAAAAAACAACCCCCACCACGACGAAGGGCCAAGCTCGGAGTCGAACCGAGATCTTCCTCCGAGCTTGGAAGGAATTTTATAAGAACAGAGGACGTGCAACTCTTACACCACTTGGCCTTCGCTCGACTCGTCGATATGGATGTGTGCGTTGTGAAATTCGGAGGGATGCAATTTGCGCATGTTCAAAAAGGAAAGCTCTTGTGCTCTAATAAAAAGCCTTGTGAACTTTAGCAGGGCCAAGCCCGGACTCGAACCGGGATCTTCCTCCGAAGCTTGGAGGTTTTCTGCAAGAAGAGAGGAAGTGTAACTGTTACACCACTTGGCCTTGATAGCAAGAACCCAGGTCAAGGCCAAGTGCGACCGGTGTGCAGACCAGACAACGAGAGTTCCGGGAATCGAACGCACGACCTCCCGTGATCCAGCAATTCACAACGCATTCGGATCCGATTCGAAAAGACGCCATATCAAAAAAAGCGTTCAATTCCTTCTAAGGGCCCGGCCCTGAGTCGAACAGGGGATTCCCTCTGAGACTGGGGTCTTTTCGTGATATCAATAGAGGGCGTGTAACCGTTACACCACCGAGCCTTTGTTTAATTGGATCGGTTCTTTTCCCATGCCATCCAGGTGTGCGAATCAGCTAAACCTCGTTGAAATTTGAACAGTTCGTTGATGAGTACTTGTTGTAACTAGTTCCAACTTGAGGGGACTCGAGGGGACAAAAAAGAACGGGAAAGCCAAGTGCAGCAAAGTTCAACAACAAAAAACAACGCGGATCAAGCTAAGGTCCAGCCCGGATTCGAGCCGGGGTCTTCCTCATAAACCAGATAGGAACACTTCCATTTCAAAAGGGCGTGTAACCGCTACACTACTGGACCATCACCCGCTCAATTCAACCATATATCCTGATCCGGATCGGATAACGCAAATCCAGCCTTCAGAAGACACCATGTCTTTGAATGTTCGCAGCCGAGCGAAGAGTTAAAAGACAGAGTTTTATATCAAAAAAGAGGTTTTGTTTACTGCCCCAGGGCCCAGCCCGGATTCGAACCGGGATCTTCCTCTTAATGGTAAAGATATGCGGCTAACAACAAAGGACGTGCAACCATTACACCACCGGGCCACTTGCCTGTGAGCTCGGGATAGGGCTCAGACGGGTATCAACATGTTTCACTCTATACAATTGACTGAGATACTTGAATATAAGACCCACGAAATTTAAACTCTTTCATTCAGCCTAGGTCTCTCCCTCAGAAAGATCGAGGACCACGAGGGAAGAAGGGCTACGATCGAGAACAATGCTGATCTGACACTGATTCGAACAGGGTATTTCCTCTTACAAAGGTCCAATGATATCAAATGAAGAGGATGTGTTACCACTACACCACCAGACCTTCCCAGCTTGCCTTGAATTGTGACTTTTTTTTATGCCTTGGTTTAAACCGTTGATTGGTTGAAAAAGTCGTTGATCAAAAGAAATATTCAGCCTAGCCCCGAATCGAACGGGGAATTTCTCAGAAACTGGACCAGATAACATGTACACCACTAGGCTCATATCAACCTCCGCTATCGATGGTAGAGAGGTAGTGGTAGAAAGAAGGGCAAAAAGCAAATTTCACCTGCTTGGCCTAGCCCTGAGTCGAACAGGGAACTCTCTCCAAATCGCATTGTGGATCAGATATTGAAGGAGGGCGTGTTACCATTACACCACGAGGCCCATAGTTGTGCCAAATGAAGCGCTGAATGGTTCGAGAGACATGTTCAACTTCCGTGGAGTCAACCCAGAGTTGAATCGAACGAAATTGAACCAAAGAACAAACGCACGGTGTGCCACAAAGCGAGTCGACCGGGCCAGAGTGGAAATTGAACCAGGAAACACAGCCAAGGAGTCTCTTTGACGCAGCGCATTCCAGTCAAGGACGCGGGCGAGACAAACACCTTCGAATTCAAACAACGCGAAGCCCTGCTCAGCTAATAAGTAAGTAATACATTAGACTCGTAACCAATCTGCCTACGCCATTCTTACAAGGCAGGCTTGTGCCTACGCCAACAAGCCCGCCTTGTTAGAACGGTGTAGGCAGGCTGGTAACGAGCCTAGTAATACATTTGAATAACGGATATCGTCCTACTCGACACAGTATTAGTACACCAACACAACCTCGATGCATTTTGCCGTCACCGTGGGAAACGCTCAAACTTTCTCCGCGTCCAGCTTCCTCGAACCCGCTTTCCCCTCCCCGACTTCAAATGGCACCACACACATCGACGCCGATACATCAGCCACACTGGCAGCCGCCGCTCCTTCCGCATTTCCACGCCTCCGAGTCAACCAGGCCGCACCGCCCACAACCAAGCTCAACCCGCCCAGAACAACGAGTCCTTGGAAGACGTAAAGCGCGGCACCAAGGACGTTCTCGCACAAGGGCCGCTGCAGCGAGACGACGTCGTCTGCAGCCCACTGATACGCGACGGCGTAAGTGAACCTAGCGAGACAGGAGAGTTTCCCGGGCAGGGAGAGCGAGGGAACGAGCAAGTCCATCGTCGCTGTGTCCGGGAGCTCCGAGGATTCAGAATCCGATTCAGTGGGGCCGTCCTCCAGCGCGACGGCGGGCGGTGATCCGCACAGGCTGTTGCCGAGCGCGCAGAGCATGGTGAGCGCCAGCATGAACGCGGACGCTGCGTATCCGCGCACAAGCGCCTCACACACCCCAAAGAAGGAGGCGGCGGCGGGTCCGGGTTGCGGATAGACGCTCTTCAAAACGGGGGTGACGAGGCCGGAGAGGATGAGGAAGCACCCGGTAGCGAGGCCTCGGACGAATGATTTGCGTGAGATGAGCCAGCGTACCATTTGTGTGGGCTCTTGGGCGAAGATTCGAGGTGAGGGTGTGAGAGTGGGAGTAAGGTGAGAGAGAGAATGGGCAAAGATGCGATCGAAGCGGAGATGATGATCCCGTCATGGTTCGTTTTTTTTTTGACAGCCCATGGCGTCTATAATACGGAAACTCGGAATCGAGGAGCGTGAGTGTCTCATGGACCTGAACAGGAGAACCCGAGGAAAGATGAAATCTGTAACTCGGGTTGAACGTTGACAAAGTTACAGAACGTGTGCAAAAGAAATTTTGAACTGAGATAGAATAGTGAGGCATCCGTGCCCCCGGCCTCCGTATAACCCTAAGCACGTGGGTGCAACTGCCTGCAGAGGGTGAGTGTGTGATAAAGCTAAAGATGAGCACCTGAGGAAAGCCTGTGACAATGAAATCAGAGTTGAACCATGAGATACTGATACGGGGAAAAATCGAACTGAGATAGAAAGGCAAGCCAACCATCACGGGAGCCCGCATAAGCGTCAACCTTGGTTTTAAACGGCGTGAGAAGTGTGAGTACCTCACGGACCTGAACAGGAAAGCCCGAGGGAAGCTTGAGACAATGGAACCAGTGTTGAACCATCACACATGAAAAAAAGTCGGACTGAGATAGAATGACGTGCAATCCATCATCCGGGAGCCCGCGGTCCTCGGCGTAGGCCCCAGCATAGGAGTTCCTCGGAATCTAACGAGGAAACCCCGGGTGGAAGCTGATGAACATCGAACTTGAACCTATAACGTACGAAGAAAAAAACCGGAGTGCGATGGAATACTTAACAGATCACGGCTCTCCACCATCGCCGAAGTACTTTCATTGGTTTGAAATGAGCCTTTGGATCCTTGTGCCGGCTGATAGTATTATTCAACATACATACGAAGCACGGGCACAAAAACTGTTGTGGCATCTCTATGTCAAAATGATAGCAGGTCTTGAAGCCCCCGTTTCTTCCGGGGCGGGAGCTGTCTAGTAGTTCCGTGTGGTAACGATAGCCCTTCAAGTTCGACGCCCAGGCGGGCCCTGATTTCCCCCGCCTTTCTGCAATTCCATTTGTGCGGTGTGTGTTGCAACGGGCATGCTCAGTAGCGGTTCTCCGTGACGTGAGATCCGCGGGCGCATTTGATCTTCAGTCGAGGAGAATCAGCGCCAAAAAAAGCCAGCGCTTGTTCCCGATGCTGGCATTGATCTGCCAAACACAAAACCACCCACACGGGACCGCAAAAGCAGAGGTTAATCCCTCCCCCCCCCAGGGGTTGGCCTACTGTAAACGGCAACGTCGGACGGACCTGCCGTGATACTATTGATGACCTGTTAAAGTCTTGGAGAAGAAATTCAACCAAAAATTCAACATGATGGCAAGTTGAGCCTCTTGACGTCCCAGAGCAGGAGGATATGTGTATCCTTCCCTCAATTGCGCCATTGATCTCTTCTTTCATAAATCAGACGGACTGAGGTGACGTTGAAATGGAGACCTTATCGAATCCCCGAGATATCCGAAAGCGCTCGAGCGAGACCAGACAAGTTGGATTCTGGCCTGGTAGGCTGGCGTTTAGCGTTCGATTGATATTCCTACCCTCGCCGAGAACCGCATGAATGGTTGAATAAGCTTCATGTAGACACGGCGCTTCGGAAGGATCTACGCCTTAATTTAAACTGATGTTGCAAACGGGTGACGTGCTCGACGCCGTATCCAAATCCGGATTACCGTGTTTTGTGCACTGAAAGAATGTGTATATCGAACCAGGATCCAAATGATGGTCATCTTTCTATCATTTTCGCTTCTCCGTTCCATATGCAGCGCAAGAGAAAATCACTAGGATCAGTGGAACACGAAAATGATGCTGAGAGAAAGCGACGATCGAGGAGGTGAGAGTTCTTGGTATCCTGGGCACATTTTCGGTATTGCCTTCACTGAAATATGCCGATCTGCCACAGTTCCCGCTCATCGCACTGCAGCACCTGGACGTTTCTTATTGGACCACCGTTGTATGTACAGAGATGTACAACCTTATCCTCCGCGGCGTGATGACCGCGATAAAAATGTAGTATATAACTACGACCACCCGAAAGCTCTGTAGTTCTCCCGCGAATTGTTTCTGGCGTTCGGACGCAGTGCTTCGTTCCACGACCAGTGGAAAATTTACGCAAACGACACCTCTTGACGTTGGCTCAATTTCGTCCCGAATGACTCTAAAGGATGTCCTCATTGTGACCACCGTATCCGGTGCCACTATTCTCAACGTGAGTGCTCTCGTCGACGGGAAGAGTGAATCTGATACACGCATCAATACAGGTGTTTCTTTCCGGAGCGTTGACAGTGGCTCTCCCAAGTATCGGCAGGGACCTAGATATTGACGAGGTTCGTCCCCCATTAGTCCACTCAACTGTGTTCTCATGGAAGCCTCAAGGCCGACTTGCAATGGCCTCTTACCGTATTTTCCTTGGCGTACGGTTGCACTCTCCTCCTCTTCGGACGCATCGCCGATATATTCGGTGGACGGCTTATGTTTATTGTCGGCTCTGCATGGTTCACCGCTTGGTATGTCTCACCATCCTGTTTTTCGGGGCGGAGTTCAACTCATATTCTGCAGGAGCATCGGAACGGCATTCGCTCCGAACTTTATCTCGCTCACCATCTTCGTCGCAATGCTTGGCTTAGGTGCAGCCACCAACACTCCCGCGGGAATTGGGATCATCATATCCTACTTTCCACCTGGGCCCCGTCGGAACACGGCATTTGGCGTGGTAGGTGCCGGGCAGCCTCTTGGTAAGTCGTCATCCCCGCTCGTATCACTTTCTGTTGATTTTGCTCGTCAGGATACATACTTGGCCTGGTTCTGGGTATGCTTAGCCCCGCTCAAGCTCTCTTCAACCTAAACTCATTTCTTCAATCTGTAGGTGGGTTGCTGTCCCAGAGCCATGCTACCTGGCGCGCAATTTTTTATGTTCAGGCCGGTCTGGCGGCGTTGTTCGTCATCATAGGCTTTTTCTATCTCGACAAAGAGCCTGCCGATGGTGCGCTCTATGTCAAGGGGCTCGACTGGGGTGGTGCACTATTGAGTACCGCCGGCATCGGGCTTCTGACCTACAGCCTTGCGTATGTTATCATCTAAAATATCTGCTGCTTACTGACAATGACGCTCAAATACTTGCAGGGCTTCCGCGACAGCTCCTCGTGGATGGGCTACTCCATACATCATAGGCTCCGTTTGCACCTCCGTGGTTCTTTTGGTCCTATTTTGGCTCTACGAGACATGGCGCGAAAAAAGGATGGTCTCTGTTCTAATGCCTCCAAGCATTTGGAAGCACCCTGCCGCTAAAATGCCAGCGACGATCGGCATGGTGTTTTTTGCCTGGTAATTCGATTTTTGCAGCAAGCATGTCGCCTTACTGATACCACATTAAGGTGGAACTTCAACACTCTTTTGTATCTGTGCGCTCTTTAGTAAGTGACTCCAACATGTCTTATGTACCATAGGTCCATTGACGATACCCGATTCAGTTTCCAACAAGTCAACGGCTTGTCTCCTGTCCAAACCTCAATTCGATTCCTCCCTTGTATCATATGCGCGTTCGGGACCAACTTATCCGGTGGTTGGCTCCTGAATCGCGTGTCCGGACTTCCATTGATCCTCGCCGCTGTCCTCATGAATACGGTCGGTTGATTTGAACGTTGTCTACCGGTAGCTAACTGTGACGCAGGGGGCCGCTCTCCTTTTCTGTGTGCTCGATGTCCATACTTCCTACTGGAAAATAGCTTTCTGGGTGATGGTGTTGGTCGGTGCGTATTTTTACGTTCAGATAGGCTGAATACTGAAGAATGATACGGTAGTTGGGGCTGATTTGGTCTATCCT